CCACATACCCCCCATTCTATACATCCCAAAAATTCCTTTCCTTCTCTAGTATTAGAAAGTGTTGTCAATTTTAGGACTAGAGAAGGGGTGTGTAATCTTTCCTTGCTATTATAAAATTTCTACTTTTGTCCATTATTGTTATTCTATTTTTCTCTTCTCTATTTTAGTTGAGTTCTTGTGCTAGTCTGATACCTAACAGTGGTATCAGAGCCACGTTCTTATTCCGTTGCGCTAGTCACTAGAATAGTGTTGGTAAAATTCTGAGTATGCTCTGTGGTTGCGGTTTAATCTGATCTTCCACATCAGAAAAGAGTTGTTACTGGAAAAGGTGTAGTAGTGTGAAACTGTTGTCTGGGGAAGTTCTGGCTAGGAAAGACTTGGTACTTAAGTGTGTCCATTAGTGACTCACCTCTCTTTCCTGGGAACTTACCTAGTGTATTGGTTCACGGTCTACTACTATTGTTCCAGTAGACAATACTATTCATAAGTGAGAGTTGCATAAGTGGAAACACAACTATGGCAGCAAAGTATGAGATAGAGAAGTTCAACGGGAACAATTTCTCGTTATGGAAATTGAAGATGAAGGCAATTTTGAGAAAGGACAATTGCCTTGATGCAATTGAAGGAAGACCCGCAGAAATGACGGATCAGAAGTGGAAGGAAATTGATGGAAATGCTATAGCAAATTTGCATTTAGCAATGGCAGATTCCGTACTATCCAGTGTTGCGGAAAAAAATACAGCAAAGGAGATTTGGGATGCCCTCATCAAATTATATGAGGTGAAGTCTCTTCACACAAGGATATTCTTGAAGCGGAAACTCTACACTCTTCGGATGAGTGAGTTCACATCGATGACGGACCACATTAATCATCTGAACACCTTATTTGCCCAACTATCAGCAGCAGATTTCAACATAGTTGAAAATGAACGTGCGGAACTTCTACTTCAGAGTCTACCAGACTCATACGATCAACTCATCATCAACATAACAAATACTAATATGGAAGGAAATCTACGCTTTGAGGATGTTGCCGGAGCTACTCTAGAAGAAGAATCCAGACGCAAGAATAAAGTAGATAGATTGGAAAATTCCAAGCAAGCAGAGGCTTTGACGATGATGAGAGGAAGATCAACAGAGCGTGGCTCCAGTGGGAGTCAAAACCATGGTAGATCAAAATCTCGAGGAAGGAAGAATTTCAAATGCTACTATTGTGGCATGAGAGGGCACTTGAAGAAAGATTGTTGGAAGAAGAAAAATGCAGAGAAGTCTTCTGAGGCAACTACATCTCAAGGATGTGTTGCCAGTACCTCTGATGATGGAGAAATCCTGTATAGCGAAGCAGCTATTGGTTCCAAAGGTGAAAAATAGCTCATTGATGTTTGGATAATAGATTCAGGAGCAACATGGCACATGACTTCACGAAGAGATTGGTTTTGCACTTATAAACCTATCTCAGAGGGATCTGTGTTCATGGGTAATGATCACGCCTTGGAAATTGCTGGAATCGGTACTGTCAAATTGAAGATGTACAATGGGACTATTCGTACAATTCAAGGGGTACGACATGTGAAGGGTTTGAGAAAGAATTTATTGTCTATTGGACAATTGGATGACCTCGGTTGCAAGACCCATATTGAAGGTGGGATCTTGAAAGTAGTGAAAGGTGCTCTAGTAGTGATGAAAGCGAGAGAAGTTTGCTGCAAACCTATACATGCTTCCGGGAGATACGTTGCAAGAGGCGGATGTATCGGTTGCATCGGCTAGTCAAGAGGAATCAACGACAATGTGGAATCGCGAGACTAGGCCATATGTCGAACGGGGCTTGAAGGTCCTTGCGGAACGTAAACTCTTACCCGGACTCACATCGGTAAACTTACCTTTCTGTGAGCACTGTGTGACAAGCAAACAACATAGATTGAAATTTGAAAAGTCAACTACTAGAAGCAAACACATACTTGACTTGATACATTCTGATGTGTGGGAGTCACCGGAAATGTCCCTAGGAGGAGCTAAATATTTTGTATCATTTATTGATGATTACTCTAGGAGATTGTGGGTGTACCCAATCAAGAAAAAGTCAGATGTGTTTCCAGTTTTCAAGGAATTCAAAGCACAAGTGGAGCTTGAAACTGGAAAGAAGATCAAGTGCTTAAGGACAGACAATGGAGGAGAATATACAGATGGTGAGTTTCTGGCATTCTGCAAGCAGGAGGGTATAAGGAGACAGTTCACGGTTGCTCATACACCTCAGCAAAATGGTGTAGCAGAGCGGATGAATAGAACTCTCCTAGAGAGGACTAGAGCTATCTTGCGAACAGCAAGATTAGCCAAGTCTTTTTGGGCAGAAGCAGTGAAGACAGCTTGTTACGTGATAAATCGATCTCCATCAACTGTGATTGGTTTAAAGACACCTATGGAAATGTGGAAAGGAAAGCCAGCAGAGTACTCTTCTCTACATGTGTTTGGATGTCCTGTGTACGTAATGTACAACTCCCAAGAAAGAACAAAGTTGGATCCAAAATCCAGAAAATGCATATTCTTGGGCTATGCTGACGGAGTTAAGGGGTATCGCCTGTGGGATCCCACTGCCCGCAAGGTTATTGTCAGCAGAGACGTAATTTTTGCAGAGAATGAACTGCAAAATGAACAAGTAAATGACAGCACTTCTAAAGATGTAACTACTGTACAAATAGATGGAAAGTCTGGAGAAGAAGATTCTTTAGAAGCAGAACCAGAGCATGAGGAGCAAGAACCAGAAGAGGCCAATGACACAGAAGTTCGACGAATAACACGTCAGATAAGGAGACCATCTTGGCACTCAGACTATGTAATGGCAAGTCATGATGCATATTGTCTTCTAACAGAAGAGGGAGAACCGTCAACCTTTCAGGAGGCTGTGAGTAGTTCAGATGCTTCTCTGTGGATGGCAGCAATGCAAGAAGAAATAGAAGCCTTACACAAAAACAAGACATGGGAGCTTGTTGCACTTCCACAAGGTCGAAAAGCCATCGGAAACAAATGGGTTTATAAGATCAAACGTGATGGTAATGATCAAGTGGAACGATATCGTGCAAGACTGGTAGTAAAAGGGTATGCTCAAAAGGAAGGCATTGATTTCAATGAGATATTCTCTCCAGTGGTTAGACTTACCACTATCAGAGTAGTGTTGGCTATGTGTGCTGCATTTGACTTACATCTTGAACAATTGGATGTAAAGACTGCTTTTCTTCATGGAGAACTTGAAGAAGAAATTTATATGCTCCAACCAGAAGGCTTTGAAGAACAAGGAAAAGAAAACTTGGTTTGTAGGTTGACCAAATCTTTGTACGGTTTAAAGCAGGCGCCAAGGTGTTGGTACAAGAGATTTGATTCCTTCATTATTAGCCTCAGATACAACAGACTGAGTTCAGACCATTGTACGTATTACAAGAGGTTTGATGATAATGATTTCATCATTTTGTTGTTGTATGTGGATGACATGTTGGTGGTAGGCCCCAACAAAGATCGAGTCCAAGAATTGAAGGCACAGTTGGCTAGGGAATTTGATATGAAGGACTTGGGACTCGCAAACAAGATTTTAGGGATGCAAATTCACCGAGACAAAAAGGATAGGAAGATTTGGCTCTCTCAAAAGAATTATCTTAAGAAAATCTTGCGGCGCTTCAACATGCAAGATTGTAAGCCAATCTCTACCCCATTGCCTATCAATTACAAATTATCCTCAAATATGTGTCCTAGCAATGAAGCAGAAAGGATGAAAATGTCTCGAGTGCCGTATGCATCGACGGTGGGAAGTCTTATGTATGCTATGATTTGTACGAGACCAGATATTGCACAAGCAGTTGGGACGGTTAGTCGATTTATGGCAAATCCTGGTAGAGAGCACTGGAATGCTGTGAAAAGAATCCTAAGATACATTAAAGGAACCTCTAATGCTGCATTATGTTTTGAAGGATCAGAGTTTATTGTCAGAGGATATGTTGATTCAGATTTTGCAGGTGATCTTGATAAAAGAAAATCTACTACAGGATATGTGTTTACACTTGCAAGTGGAGCGGTAAGTTGGCTATCTAAACTGCAGACTGTTGTAGCCTTATCTACTACAGAGGCGGAGTACATGGCAGCTACCCAGGCATGCAAGGAAGCAATTTGGATTCAAAGGTTATTGGGAGAACTCGGACACAAGCAACAGAAGATCAATGTGTATTGTGACAGGTCAGAGTGCCTTGCACATTGCAAGGAATCCAGCTTTTCATTCCAGAACAAAACACATAGGAGTACAATATCATTTTGTCGGAGAAGTAGTAGAGGAAGGGAGTGTGGATATGCAGAAGATTCATACCAAAGATAACCTAGCGAGATGCCTTGACAAAACCGAGTAAATGCCGACAAGTTTATACTAAGTCGATCCTGTTATGGCCTATTGAAAGCATAAGCAGCATAGATGGAAAAGATAATCATGGTGTGAAGATTTGATTAATTTCATCAAAATCTTCAAGTGGGAGATTGTGAGAACAAAGTCCCACATCTGTGGGTACTTCAAAGGGGGTATGGGTGAGTGGTTATATAAGAAACCACATACCCCCCATTCTATACATCCCAAAAAATTCCTTTCCTTCTCTAGTATTAGAAAGTGTTGTCAATTTTAGGACTAGAGAAGGGGTGTGTAATCTTTCCTTGCTATTATAAAATTTCTACTTTTGTCCATTATTGCTATTCTATTTTTCTCTTCTCTATTTTAGTTGAGTTCTTGTGCTAGTCTGATACCTAACACTTTATTTACGAATATTGAATTAGTACTTCTTACTCAAACTTGTACATCAACATCGCCAAACTAAAGTTATTTACTATTAATTATTAGGATTATTGTGTCAAAATTTAACACAGGAAACAACTTTGAGAGTTAAGCCTTACAGGATTAAGAAAAACACTTGCATGTTTAGCAATGTTACATAGTTTGGAACTGACTATGGTTGCAGATGTTCATTGAGGAAGTCATGGAGCTTGTGGAGTTGAAGCCACTAAGGCGTGCATTAGTTGGATTGCCTGGTGTTAATGGTCTCTCAACAGAGCAACGCAAAAGGTTGACAATTGCAGTCGAACTTGTGGCAAATCCTTCCATAATATTCATGGATGAGCCAACTTCTGGGCTGGATGCAAGAGCCGCTGCTATTGTCATGAGAACAGTTAGGAACACTGTAGACACTGGAAGAACAGTTGTTTGTACCATCCATCAGCCTAGCATAGACATATTTGAATCTTTTGACGAGGTGAAAAAAAAAAAAACAGAGTTGGTGTAGAAATTTAGTTCTCTCTTCCATTATCGACTTTCTAACCTTTTTGTCACAACAAAATGCAGCTTTTGCTAATGAAGCAAGGAGGGAAAGAGATATATGTGGGGCCACTTGGACCGCATTCTTCCAATTTAATTAGTTATTTTGAGGTGAAAAATAGGGAATAATGAATTTATATTTTGCTTATCTTCATATAAAATTTTGCTCATATCACACTTTAATTCTGAAGGAAATCGAAGGTGTCAATAAGATCAAAGATGGCTATAATCCAGCAACATGGATGTTTGAAGTCACGACTTCAGCAAAAGAAATGGAATTAGGGATTGATTTTGCCGATGTGTACAAAAATTCAGTGTTATACAGGTATTATCAGTGTTATGCTAGACAGCACTTGAGTGCTAAAGTGCAATAATCAGTTTTTTGTTATTATTATGATTATTTGCAGTAACTAAATGGAATGTTTGCTGATATATGGTGTTTGGAATTTCTCAGGAGAAACAAAGAACTTGTTAAGGAATTGAGTAGTCCAGCTCCTGGTTCCAGAGACCTTTATTTTCCATCACAGTATTCAACTTCCTTTTTTACCCAATGCCTGGCTTGCTTATGGAAACAACATTGGTCTTACTGGCGCAATTGTCCGTACACTGCCCAATCATTCATTTACACAATTGCTGTTTCTGTTTTGTACGGGAGCATGTTTTGGAACAATGGCTCGAAAATGTATGCTGAAACCAGAATTTCTGTCTTCAATATCATTTGTTCTCTTGTTACTGCTTCATCTAACAGGAAACTTTTGCTTAATTATTGCAGTGAAAAGAAACAAGATCTTTTCAATGCCATGGGCTCCATGTATGCTGTTGTTTTGCTTGTTGGCGTTAAGAATTCTTTTTCTGTGCAGCCAGTGGTTGCTGTTGAAAGAACAGTCTATTATAGGGAAAGAGCAGCTGGAATGTATTCAGCTTTCCCATATGCTTTTGCTCAGGTAAGATATTCCATTATAATTCTTCATTATCAATTGGTATTAAGGTGAAATCTGGTATATAAATAACCTGTTAGAACTTGCTCCTTCTGTTACAGGTTCTGATTGAGCTCCCGTATGCACTTGTGCAAGCTGTAGTTTACAGCACTATCATTTACGCAATGATTGGTTTTCAGTGGACTGTGGCTAAATTTTTGTGGTACCTGTTCTTCATGTACATCAATTTCCTTTGCTTCACCTACTATGGCATGATGTCAGCAGCAGCGACACCAAACCAACACATTTCCTTTGTAGTTTCCTCTGGATTCTATTCAGTTTGGAATATCTTCTCAGGATTCCTAATCCCACGGCCAGTAAGTTTGTCTTCCTTTTTTCACATGAAGTGCACTTAGATTCATGCTTTCTAAGCATAGATAATGGTTAGTTTATTTTATGTTCTTTTTGGCATGGCATGACAGAGGATCCCAGTATGGTGGAGGTGGTGCAGTTGGTTAAATCCAGTTGCTTGGTGTTTGTATGGACTGGTGGCGTCACAATACGGAGATATAAAGCAAAGCATAGAATCCAGTGACGGAAGAACAACAGTGGAGGGCTTTGTAAGAAGTTACTTTGGATTCAAGCATGATTTTCTTGGAGTGGTTGCAGTTTTCTCTGTTGCACTCACACTACTCTTTGCATTGCTCTTTGCCATATCAATGAAGATTTTTAATTTCCAACGGCGTTAAAACGAGTTCATGTATTTTATATAATTCCACGTAACTTTTTGTAAGAAAATATGTATTGGCAATTTTGAGAGGGAATTTAAAATGTTCTATAACAAAATAGTTGTATGGACACCATAAGAGATTCTTAAGACTGAAAACAATGGTGATGATGAGAAAAGAGTCAACTTGAATTTTTTTCCATGGTTCGAATTATGATGAATGGACGAGGACACTTCAAACCTCATTACAAGTGAAGAGAAAATATATGAATTTGTGGAAGGAAAAATCCAAAACCAACAACTCCAGATAAATTAGAGGACTAGATTGCAATACATTTAATGTTTATAGTATGGTTGCTTAATACCATCGAGTTATTACTATGCTTTACTCTTTCTTATTCAAATGATGCGCAATCCTTTTGGACATATCCCAAACAACATTTTTGGTAAATCTAAACATATGGATAATTCTGACCAATTTTGTACGCATTACAATAAAGGAAGGCATAACATAAGCTCGTGTTTTCAATTTCATGGGTTTCCCGATTGGCGGGGGAAGCATTCTCAGGGTAGTCATGGATCAGGGAAAGGAGCAAGCCATTCTAGAGGGCATGGTAAGGACACAAACAGCGAACCTATTCATGCCAACAAAGCCACAACAGGAGTCATAGAAATGGTGCTAAAGGTGGATAGTCTAATGCTCTATCAAACCTAGGTGAGCCAACAGGAATATTTGGCATCATTCCAGCACAGTGGCAACAACTTCTTGATGTTTTGAATGTTTCAAAAATTAAGGATCGCCTTCATAGTAAGAATGATATTTTTTGGATTATTGATTCTAGAGCCTCACACCAGTACACGAAATTTATCTTATCTAATAAATGTGAACAAAATTACAAACATATCGGTAGGATTGCTGAATGGGAAAGATTGTGTGATTTTAGATGCTCATGTACAATTTCATAATGTTTTTTTTTCCTCGATTAACTTGTAACTTAATTTCTATATCACAATTAATTTTAAGTTATATATTATATCATTTTTATAATATGAACGAACGAGGTATTAAATGATTTTAGATTGTTATGATATATATATATATATATATATATATATATAGAGAGAGAGAGAGAGAGAGAGAGAGAGAGAGAGAGAGAATCCGATCAATAATTACCGTTGACAAAGTAAAAAATGATTTCAGCCTTTTAAATATTAATAAAAAATAAAAAAATAGTATTTGAATTCAAGTACATGTTAACATTTATGTGTAGAGATGGTAAAGAACTTACCTAACTGGAGTGGCAGAAACCCCACCAAACAAAATGGAGTGAATTTCCACCTATTTTAACAAGTAATAAAATTCATTACCTTACAAATAAAAGATAAAAGGACCAACATTAATTAATTGACATGAATAAAATCATTAAAAACTTAGTTAAGTTTCAGAACTGATTAGGGTTAGAGACACCACCACACACACACACACACACACACACAAAAGGTTAATTATATTCTTGTTTTAAAAGTGATTGCTTCCACTAGATTCTTGATAAAATCTGATTTATTTCGTTAGTACAATTAGCATGGTTTGCTTCAATTATAACTAATGCTACTATCTTGGTTTGGCTCATTGACCAAACGAGGTATTTTATTCAAACACATTATCATGGTTGGGTTGTTTTCAAACACATTATCATGGTTGGGTTGTTTTCAAACATTTTTTAAGTTCGGAATTCAACTCCTCTAATAACTAGGGTTTTCAGTCTTACCCCATTCTTTATTCTATTTTGAGTTATTGATTTTAGATATTATCCAAGTGAAACAATGTTATATCAATAACATTTTCTGAAAAAATTATTGACATTACATTCCAAAGCTGATACTAACTGTCACATAAGCAAAACATTATTATTTTTAACACTTTCTACACATGCCATACATTGCAAAAAATGTCATTTTTTTAAAACACTGATTCTAGTCCTGATGTTTATTAGTGGTTGAAAAACTTACTTTCATTAGTGTGGTTAGGTTTTGATCAAGGTTTAAAGAAACTAGTCATGTGTTAATGTGTTTAATCTAAACTACCTAATTTTCTCATTGGAAAGTTTAAATATGAAGGGAAAAGTCAAAAACTCCTATTTAAAAATGTAAACAATTTTTGTCCAATCAATTTTGAGTTCTTCATTGTCATCCCTTTGAACAACACTTAGGCAGAGTCCTATTGCAAATATATGATAGTTTACAAGTTGAAATTATTCATAATGGTATACATGCCTAATTTTCATTTAAGTTATTCCTAATACGTAATAAATAAATAATTTAAATTCAAAAATTATAACTAAAATTTTAATAAATACTTTAAGCATGTAAATTATATTTTAGGTTTATGACAAAAAAACTATATGGTAATTCAATATTATTTCTAATTATTCACAAATTATTCTTTTAAAAATTTAATTTATAATTAAACATATTTGAAATTACAGGTTAAAAGAGATAAAAGATTAAAAAAAGTCCTATAATTATTATTTCCAAAAAAACACAACTAATTGAAAATATTATGGATATTATTGACATTTAAAAATATTCTCGTATAAAGCTACTAATTCTACTTTATATAGGAAGAGGATATTTGATTCTTGTTAGGAGCATGTTTGACTTTAAAGATCAAATATATATTTTCAGGATTAGTTTTCATTGTTATAACGTGTTAAACTATAATTGAATTTGTTAAACAAGAGTAAAAGCTTCTCATATTAAAGTTGATGAAGACCTTAGGTTTTGAGTGATATAAACATCTTTATTTACTTTCTTTTTTTCTGTTCTTCTTTATAGCTAGTTCTTAGGGTTTGGTGTGAACAAAACTATTCAATATTTTGCTCAAGAGTAATATGTACCTTCACCAAGTGGGAGCTATAGTAAAATGGTAGTGTTCCCGCTACTGTTTTCGACGTATCTCCAAGTTAAGGAACATTGCAGAACATGCAAAACGATGTTGCACTTTAAAACCCGCACGACATATTTGACTCTACACACACACACATTATATATATATATATATATATATATATATATATATATATATATATATATATATATATATATATATATATATATATTTGCCATTTAGCGCCATTTAGCCAGAGAGAAAGGAACTGCGTCTTTTCTTCCTCACAAAACAACAGGAAACCAAAATTGGAGAAACTTTTTGTTTCTGGGAAACAGTTGCTAGGTTTTAGTAGGGGTTGCAATAAGCTTAAAACTTCTTTTTTTGGTGTGGTGGCATGGAGGGTGGTAGTAGTTTGAAGATTGGTAGTTCATCCATTGGGAGGGTGGAAAATGATGCGGAGATCTTTTCAAACTTTTTCCACAGAGAGGATGATGAAGAGGCTCTCAAATGGGCTGCCATTCAGAAACTTCCCACTGTTTCACGTTTGAGGAAGGCTTTGCTCACTTCATCCGAAGGGGAAGTGAATGAGATTGATGTGCACAAACTTGGGTTGCAAGAAAGGAGAGCTTTACTTGAAAGACTGGTGAGAACTGCTGAAGAGGACAATGAGAAGTTTTTGCTCAAGCTCAGGAATCGTATTGATAGGTGAGAATTGTTTCCCACCCTCGTTTCTTCTTCTTCATTCTAATAGAGGTATTCGATGGAAATATGCACTCGTGGATAAATTCTTGTCTTTCTCTTTCTGTTTCTGGGACTGGGCGATATTAGAGTTGGAATTGAACTTCCTACTATAGAGGTTCGGTTTGAGAACTTGAACGTCGAAGCTGAAGTTCATGCAGGAACTAGAGCTTTGCCTACCTTCACTAACTTCATGGTTAATATAGTGGAGGTAAGTGGTGATAAAAGCCAACTTTCGTAAATAGTAGAACTTGTTGAAGCAGCTTCTATTGTACTGATTTCGTCACATTTTTAAGGGCCTGGTGAACTCTCTCCATATACTTCCAAGTAGAAGAAAAACTATAAATATTCTACGGAATGTTAGTGGAATAATAAAGCCTGGCAGGTAGCAATGCAAAATTGAAACATGAAGTTCTATTATTATTCATATACTAGACCTTAATTAGCTACCACCGTTTGAATCAGTATAACGTTTCCATTAATTTCATCCGGTTCAGAATGACATTGCTTTTAGGCCCTCCAAGTTCTGGAAAAACCACATTCTTGTTGGCCCTGGCTAACAAACTTGATCCTAAACTGAAGGTTAGGCCATTAATCAGAATACAATATTATTTTAACAATGCTTTCATATGTTTCTGATCTATTTTTCAATATGTTGTCGCAAGCTAATAAAGGATGGCTATGGCTTCTTGATCAGTTTTCTGGAAAGGTGACGTATAATGGTCATGGAATGAACGAGTTTGTACCCCAAAGAACTGCTGCTTATGTCAATCAAAATGATTATCATATTGCAGAGTTGACAGTCAGAGAAACCTTGGCCTTCTCAGCAAGAGTCCAAGGAATCGGAACTCATTATGGTTAGTCTATACTCTATGAATGATTTTAGCACTAAGTTGCATGGATACTGGTATGGTACGAATACAAGATTAAAAAATAATAATAATAATAATAATAATAAAAATCTGGTATACCTGTAGTTAGGTATATTATAATAGAACCTAACATAGTGACAACCTTCAAGAAAAACAATCTTAAAAACAACTCACTTTATTAATAATATAATTATAAAAGAAATTTAATAAAAATAAAAATAATTTAAAATTCTTATTATAATATTAAAAACCTTTGAGGGTTTTATGGTTTTTGGGCAATGATATGTTTGACACATGAAAAAAAAAATAACTCCCAAATGAATTCATTTTTATTAATATAATAATGATAAATCGATTTAATGAAAATAAAAATAATTTAAAATTTGTTATTATAATATTATAATTAGTTGTATTTGGGATGTTTGTGGAATACCGGTATCAAGACAGTTTTTTTCGATTAAATTTTATGTAAATATGACTAATTGCATAAATGAAAAAAAAGATACATATATAAGTATTATAGCATAAAAGGAGCTTGAATTCTTTAATAGGAAAAAACTATTTTTACAACCACATTTTATCAAACATCTCATCAATAATTGGTTTTAATAAATAATAATAATTTAAAAATATTTTTATTTTCGTCAAATCCTTTTAAATTTATTATATTAATAAATTGAGTTATAAAGAAAGATGTTTGTTTAGCACCGTTGTATAAGCCCTCTCTTCAATATAACAACAAATTATCTTTCTAGCTAGTAAAAATTATAATATATATTGTTAATATTTATTATGGATATAAAAGAATCAGCGATATAAAAAAAATATGATATCACTTCTACCTCAAAATCTTATATTATAAGTTTTTTTTTTCACTTGTAAAATACATAACTTTTCCATTTTTAATCATGGTTAGATTTTAATTCACATTTAGATTCCCAACTATTTTAACAATTTAATCTTATTATTATTTTCCTAACCATCTTAATGGAAAGAATCACTCGCAAATTAGTAGTCATAAATTTGATTAAGCTATAGAGAAAGAATAACAACTTCAACAAAGTCAACCCTTTTTAATAAATCTCATTCATATCTTTTCACTATCCCTAACAAGTCTTCTGGTACAGTTCTGGAACTAAATATGTAGTAGTATATGTAGCAAGTGTTTTTAATGTTTTTGATATGCATCGGTATGTATTGACTGTAGACAACCA